CGAAGAGAGCGTCACCGACGCCGTCGAGCGCTTCACCGAGTCCATCTCGTACGACAAAGCTCTCTACAAGCAGGACATTTTGGGCAGCAAGGCCCACGCTTCCATGCTAGCCAAACAGGTAAACGATATATATATATATATATATTTTTTTTTGTGGGTTTATTTTTCATGAATTGAGTTTTGGGGGTGAAATATTTGTTCTTTGTTCTGTTTTAGGGATTGATTACTATTCCCGACCGGGATAGCATCCACCAAGGGCTGAGCGAGATCGAGAGGCGAATCGAGAACGGCGAGTTCGAGTGGAGGACGGACAGAGAAGATGTGCACATGAACATCGAAGCGGCGCTGACCGATTTGATCGGCGAACCGGCGAAGAAGCTCCACACGGCTCGGAGCCGAAACGACCAGGTCTTGACCGATTTTCGGTTGTGGTGCCGAGACGCGATCGATGCCATCGGCGCGAAGATTAAGCATCTTCAGGTTTCGCTTGTCAAATTAGCGATGGAGAACGAGGGTGTGATTGTTCCTGGGTACACGCATTTGCAGAGGGCTCAACCTGTTCTGCTTCAGCATTTGCTCTTGGCGTTTGTTGAGCAGGTTTGTGTGTGGAAAATATATGATTGTTTGAAATGTTGTTGCTTTATATATATAGATTTTTTTTTTCCTTTTCTAGATGAGACATTAGTGGGGGCAACTTTGGATTTCAAACTTCGAAGAGAAAAGCTTAAAGAGCAACTTTTTGGATTCAAGTACCCAAAATAAACTCTTACTTCCAATAATTATGTGTTGTTTTTACTATTTCTTAACCCAGATTTTAAAAAACAGAAACTGCTATAAATTCGTTTGTATATTAAAAGGCTTTAATTTTTTTTTAGGGAAAAATTATATTGCAACTGAGTGTGTTTGCTTAACATAGGCATATATAATTTGTGGGCCTTGTGTTTTTAGTAGCTTGGTAGTTGTTCTGTATATGAATTTGTGGATTAGGTTATATTTACTTGTAAAAATTGGTATGTTGGTGCTTATGAAGTAGTTGTGTTGGCCTTATTATATGCTTGGCCTTTAGAAGAGATAAATTGTGGCATTTTTATGTTTTGTAGCTTGAACGTGATGCTGGTCGTTTACTAGATTGCAGAGTGAGGCTGAATTTCTGCCCTTTAGGTGCTTGTGCATTGGCTGGCACTGGACTTCCAATTGATCGGTTTATGACATCTGCTGCTTTAGACTTTACTGCTCCTATGAAGAACAGGTACGTCCCTTGGTATAATGCTTTGGTTGGGATCGGAGTTGACATGTGCTTGTGTGCTGTAGTATGGAGCTTCATGATCCGTCGTTGTTTCATTGGTAATCTGCAAAAGATGTTGTAAACTGGCCAATTAGTTAACAAATTAGTCAATTACTTTACGGTATTCCTTATGCCATCTTTTCTTTCTTCCCTTCCAATGCATGTGAGACTTTGCAACATTTAGTTCTATGGTTCACTACCATTCTAGTCCACAAATTGCATGGAACTCTGTCGAAGCAGCTGATATGCTGATATGCTATCTTTTCCTTTAATTTTAAGAATTACTTATGCTTGCCCTATTCTTTCATTAACGGCAGCAAAGATCAGTCATGTTTATCCACTATTGGCAAACACAATTGTTCAGTATATCTTATATTCATCATGCTTTAATGTGCAGTAATACAAGTGCATTAAGTATACCCAATGATCTCAGTTTGATGAGCGTAGTGATTGTGCTTTGTGGTCCAATCTGTATTCCATGCTTCTTTATGTGTTCATTAAATAATTTATTAATTTATTTTCTTCATATAGTATTGATGCCGTTTCAGACCGAGATTTTGTCATGGAATTTCTTTCTGCAAATGCCATTACGGCCATTCATCTCTCCCGGCTTGGTGAAGAATGGGTATTGTGGGCTTCAGAGGAGTTTGGATTTCTCACACCAAGTGACAAGGTTTCAACAGGAAGTAGTATCATGCCTCAGAAGAAAAATCCAGATCCAATGGAACTTGTTCGTGGAAAGTCGGCTAGAGTAGTAGGAGACCTGGTTACCCTTCTCACATTGTGCAAAGGACTTCCCCTTGCTTATAATCGTGATTTGCAGGTATAATCTTTTCTTTTTTACTTCAAAAAAGGAAAACCTAGTGTGCCTCTTTAGTGGTTTCAAAGGACATCAGTTCTTTCATGTACAATCAGCAAGGAAAGACGGGTTTAGTCGGGTTTGTTTCACCCTTTAAGTTTTTGAACCTGAAATGTAGGTCTTAGCCACACATTGCATGCACGTTACTTTGCTGACACACAAACACAATGCTGCATACAAGAACCTGTTCTGCTAGCATGTATATTGTATAAAAATTCATTTTGTATTTTAACTAATCCTGCAACATTTTGAGTATGACTATAGAAGGTTCTTTCTTTGCCCCTTGAGACAGGAAGATAAAGAACCTGTCTTTGACAGCGTGAAGACAATATTGGGGATGCTTGATGTGTCTGCAGAGTTTGCGCAGAACATTACTTTTAATAGGGAGAGAATACAAAAGAGTTTACCTGCTGGTCATCTTGATGCCACAACACTTGCTGATTATCTCGTGAAGAAGGCAAGTTCTATGGTCAACGTTCTTGTTTTACCAATTAGACGAGCTTAAAACTTCTTTAATTTGAATCACCATTCATGATTAAAAATGCTGTTCTATAACTGGCAGCTTTGCTCTGGAACTATTGAAATTATTTAGATCATAACGACCCATTTTATTTAGCAGTTTTGGCATCACATGTAGTTCATAACATTTGTTGGTCCTGATCAAATTTCAATAAACTTCCATCCAAAATAACATAGTGTGTACATATGGTCTGTAGTTTGTACCAAAAATATATTACCCATCGACTGATCTTAACGATGGTAAGTCCAAATTTGTCCATAATTGCTACTGAGGTTTCTTTTCTTGTTTTGTACAGGCAATACCTTTCAGAACTTCTCATGACATAGTTGGAAGGGCAGTGGCCGTGTGCGTCTCAAATAGTTGCCAACTTCAGGACTTGAGTCTCGATGAGCTCAGAAGTATTCATCCAGTGTTTGACAAGGATGTGTACGAGTTTCTTGGAGTAGAGAATTCAGTTAAGAAATTCTCCTCCTACGGTTCCACAGGGTCAGCCTGCGTTGCCAGTCAACTTGGCGACTGGGTTACAAAACTTGAGATCACTAAAGAGGTTTGACAAAAATGGTGCTAGCTGAACGTTTTTGGGAAACCATCACGTGGTCTTGGGAGTTGGCGGATTCAGCGAGTACGAAATCTGTTGAGAAGTGTATACTATTTTTTGTAGTATGTTAAGATCCCATCAAGGATTCGATTGCTGTTGTAGGAGGAAGTGCTTCTGTTACGATGAATTCAATTTTTCCGCCTTTTTGGTGGAGAAATAAATTACTAGAATTCTTTGGTCCCGTGTTTTGGAAACTTTTTCCATTTGCCTTTATGAATAACAAATTTGTCGCGACTTGCTCAACATCCTAAATATCAGATTCGCAAATGTTATCCAATTGTTGAGACATTGAAATGTGAATAGGTATTTCTTTTAAAGGCTTATTTGTTTAAATATCCCCATGGTTTTCAAATAGTCTTAGAGCACCCACAATGGGCTCGCTAAACCACCTCCTTAGATAAATTTTAGGGAGGAATCGTAAAAATGCAACTCCAATCACACTCCCTATCCACCTCCTAAAATAGGGAGTCCTCTAGGAGCTCCTAAATGTGAGGAGAGGGAAAGGACTCCTAGTGGCTCCCTATAATTTAATGTTGCTTTATTTAATGAGTATTTCAAACCTTTATTTAATGCTAACTATTTTTTATTTTATTTTATAATAGAGATGAACCAATTAAAAAAGAGTTAAAACATTTATGACTCTCCAAATTAGAGAGTATGGTTGGAGTTGAAATTTTTTAGAGAGCTCCTAAAATAGTTTTCTTATATTCTTAGCCAAATTTTAGTTAAGAAATAGAGAGCATCATTGTGGATGCTCTTAGTTTGCTCCATATCTCCCGACGTTTCAAATGACTCAAAATTAAAAATCGTTAAATTAGTTGAAGTGGCATGGGTATTTTGGTAAATTTAACTATTAAAAAATAAAAAATTCATATTAAATATAAAAATGCTTGAAATTATTTAAAATATGTCAAAAATAAAGATAAAAGTAAGGGAGTTTTCATTTTAAGACACTATATAGACTAAACTGACTTCAGATGTCGAAGAGAGACGAAGTAGAGGGCGGTGAAGACAGAGAGTGGAGGGCGAGTTGGATTTTTGAATACCAAAGAGAGAAGAGGAGAAAACGGGGGGTGGGTTGAGGGAGAGAGAAGGAGGAAGGTTAGGTGGGTTTTTTTTGGTACCTTTGTTTTGACAGAGGAATGGAGAGGGAGAAGGTGGTTGTTGGGGTTGGTAGAGATGAGGGAAAAGGGTGGTGGGGGCTAACGATTGAGGGGGGAGAAAAAAAGGAGACATTCTCATCTTAATTTTTTTTTATATACCTATTTAAATAATTTCAAGCATCTTTTATATTTATTTTGAATAGTTAAATTTATCAAAATACCCATGTCATGTCCGCTGATTTAATGATTTTTATCTGAAAACTAACAGAATGTGCCAACCTTGGTCACAGAATGGAAGTTTAAGAGGGAAATTGAGTAATTTGAAACTTTAGGGAGAGCAAATTAAGACTATTTGGAAACCACATCGGGCATTTCAACAAATAAGCATTTTTTTTAAAGTGATAGTATCTGACATTTATCAACTATATCAATCTATGCATTCGTCCATACATAGAAGCCAAGTTATAGATCCAAAAGTTTATCAAATTAAAGACAACGATTCTTCTCTTTCACCTCAATCAATGCCTTACGCTAGCCGAGCAGGATCATCAATCAACCAACGAAAAATTCATAGCGCTATTTTTTTTTTTTTAACCTTTTATTATGGCCCTTGGTAACTTCATGGATATATCCGCCTAAATTCCATCCTTGTCTTCATTTAGGCCTTCATTATTTACTGGCAGTGAGGAAGTTGGGTCTACAGTAACAAGCCGGATTGCCGGTTTTCTCCCCTTTTTTCTTTGGCCAGGTTTTGCACCGTTTGCATTCACCTGCAGGATTTAAAAATTTTCAATTAGGGACCAAGGAGAAATGTAATGAAATGCTCAAAGGGATAGACGCCAGCAAGTAGAGAGTATATTTTGAATGCCAATGGCAATTAGGAGTGTAATCAGAGGTCCCTTAAAAACACATTTCTGAAAGTTCGTCAAATACAAAGGCAGACAGTCCCATACAAAGGTTAAGAAAACTATTAGGGAGCAGAGAACAAAGTAATAGCTAGAAAACATTTAGTTCTTTGAGGAAATAAATTGGAGCTCGAAAAGGATAACGAAGCATACCAGTATGTTCCCAATATCAGATAATGGTTTCTTTCGTGGCCCAAGATTGTCATTTGATTCAGCAGGCTTCTCAACTAGTGCACTCTGAAGCAGCATTGCACCTTGGGAAGCCACTATGCTACTCTTCTCTGTTTCAACGACGTTCGAACCATTCAAACCGCCATCAGGCGTCTCTGATTGTGGCGAGTCATCCGACTTGATTGGGGCTGCTGCTTCTCTATTACTGCACTTAGAGGCTGCACAGCCACATGATGCCCCACAGCCACCACCGGTGGATCGACATCTGCATTTCATCGTCTTGCACAGAGAATACTTACTGCAAGAGCAACACACTGTTGATGCAGTTTTGACTTTTATGGCATTAGAATTTTCTGATACAGATGTGCAGTCCACCCCTAACTTGCAACTATTGCTCCCAACAGAAACAGAATGTTGACTCATAATACCCTGATCATCAAACATCGTAACTTAAGGTTATAGAATAAAAGAAATCATGTTTTTCAGTTTATAATTGAAGATTTTATTTTGTATTTCATTATGAACACTGCAACTAATTCATTCCCTCAAACCACTACATGCTTTAGGTCCGGAAAAAGAAGAAAAGAAGAAATTAAATTCAAAAGATCGAAAAGCATTGATCCACATCCAGGTGCCCTAACCTGTGACTTTCTCCCATGATCAAGCTCAGCCTTGTTCAATCTTAGTTGTCCAACCAAACTACTTAGGCTAACAAATTGTTCCTTCAGGTCTTTAATACCTAAATCCTTCTCCAAGCAGTCAACCTCTTTCTCCTGGCATGGGCACCTTAACATGGCAGGGAAAAAAGGAGCAAGGCTTAAGCATAAAATGGTCACTTACTACCACTAAGGAAAAGCTTTACAAAAACTTTGCAGGAAAAAAATTCAGAAGCAAAACTTCTCACCTCGACATTTCTTGCTGTCGTGCTTCTGCTTCATCCTTAAGGTTTGCAGCTTCCTCAGCCATCCTAAACATCCAAAATGAGAAAGATGCCTTTCTTAATTCGGTTCCATCTTCTATGAAAAAAAACGTGGTTGGGAACGTTTGCCCAACGAGAACTCTTGAGCAGAGCAATTTAAATAAATTCCAAAAACAATTAAAACAAAGCACAACAAATAAACTACTAGATACGTCAGTCATGCATATCATGGAAAAGTAGTATACTTTAGCTTTGAAGATAATTTTTAATAAAGAAACGAAAATTTTAATTTTCAAAAACTTCATTTGAGTGACGTGTTACTGAACTACAAAAACAAAACATACAAACCTTAGTGTCTCTGCAACGTCTCATGCAAGTTGTTCTTAAGTCTGATTTGAGAAAGTTTTTTTGCTTATGTGAACTCCAGATTAATTTATTTTCATCTAAGATATTAGCCCCTATATTAACTTCTCCTCTACGGGTATCAGTCCCTTTGTATTGATTGTATAGTTCTAGTGTTAAATCTATTGCACATAAACTCTCTAAAACCATACAGTTTTAAGTTGAGAGCATAAGTGAGGAAGAGACTATATGAATACATAGTTACATAGTTTCCAGCAGCAGTGCTGAACAGATGAAAGAGCAATTAATCACCCAGAAACCTGGAAAGAAAAAAATAATGGGACTCACTCTTCTATTTGACGCTCATATTGAGAACATAGTTCATGTAACTGTGTTGTGTCATCAAGCTCATGCTCAATACCCTGCACCAGATATTTAAAATGAGTCAAGAGTAATGATATGATTGCGTTAGAATGAAGTCCCAAGAATTAGCAGAAACCGTTTTTAATTGCATGTAAAACCTCTTTGAAGATGAAATAAAGGCTGTCATTTCCAATTCCACTAGTAACACAACCAAATTATAGATGATACATATGTGCATATAAGCATATGCACCAAATATACACACACACATTCTACTACTCCTTGTTTGGTTATGAAATACCTCAAGTGCTGCAATCTTCCCATTTCTAGCACCTACACGAGTTTAAACCGAAATGAGGGGGAAAAGTTAACTATTATACAATTGCAGCAACAGAAATGTAAGCCAACTCAAGCAGTAGGTTTCTGACCATCTTTTTTGTGCAACAAAGCCTTGCGAGATTCTAACAGCTGCCTAAGCCGTTTAGTGGCCATGAAAGCTTCCATATTCTTTCGATGCAAAACCTGAGGCAGAAGAATGAAACTTAAGAGAATTATTTTAACACAAGTTGAAACTGTCAGATAGAAAGTGTTCCATCAAGTAGTACATCTATGGTATCTCAGTCTTAAAGAAAATATAAATTTACCTTCTTCAGTCTTTGATTGGAGTCCAATAGGTTCTGCATCTCATGTTCATTTTTCCTACTATCTTTTTTGAGCTGTTGATGCATAAAGATACCCAGAAAAAATTCATATACCTTGACATAGTATAAATTCGGGATAATCTAACCAAAAAACTTTTCCAGATATACTAAGCAGAGCATGTTAGTAGCTTAAATCCATATACAAAAAGATACAATGCCAAGAATCTTAATCTCAGATATGCATCTCAACCCATTCTACCCAGTATTCAAACTTCAGACGTTCCCAGAATGTGCTATTCAATAGAAGAGGAAATGCAAAATGCATCTCCAGTTGCTGGCTTGCAGCAATATCAAACGCACACAAATATTGGAGTACACATGACAACAAAAATAGGCATGCCTCAAACAAACTGCCTTAAGTTTCATATGCATTTCCAATACCAGAACTACCCAGTGCACAACTTAATAATCATACCAAATACTTTTCTATTTAAGCTAAGTAATATTTAATTTGCAACCTCATCAGGAATAAAATAAAAGACCTACAAAATTTCTAATTGCAAAGCTCATTCACAGCTTTACATGTCAATATAGACATGATGAAGATAGCTTCACATGCCATGCCCTTTATCTACTTAATCATAGCAATGCTGCTGGATCAAGATTTTTAAAAGACCACTTATAAGATTTTTTTTCTGTTTTGTAAGATATGCAAAATTTTGATAATACTACATTCTTCGATGGTTTATAAAAAAAATGAGCACGAAAGGGAAATTACATACAAAATTACTTGAAAAGACACTGAACCCTCAACCAACCACGGCCAAACATGATATCTCAGAGAACTTAAGAAGGAAGAGATACCAATATAGAAGCACCAATGTAATACCAAGATCTGAAAATCATATACCTGAAGAACTTCTTTTTCCAATGAAGCCTTATGCAATCTGAACTGCACAGACTCTAGCTTCATCTTACATTGCAGTTGAACCTAAACAGCACAAAATTTTGTTAACTACTGAAGCATGAAAGTTCACAATATTTCATACAGGCATGCCTCATTAACTAAAACATGTCACCTTCTGAGCCTTCAATCTCTGAATCTCGAAATGTAACTGTTTTGTTGACTCATCCCCTCTTCTTCTTTGGGTTGAGAGTTGCGATTGAGCATCTAGCTTCCTCGTCAACACTGTAACCTGCACAAATGGATTTATAGATATAGAACATGCAATGCAATACTATTATTAAACACCTCGTCACAACTTCTATAAAAAAATCCACCTGATCTTCAAGGAATGTCAACTTTTGAAGGTAATCTTCCCTGAGCTTTTGAGCACTATTATCACCAGAAGTGGATGAAACATTTGCAAGCTTGTATCTCAGCTCCTCAACCTCCTTCTGTTAATTGTCATCAGAAGAAATTTAAGAGATTTTCACAAGTAAGAAACTCAAAATTAAATTTAAAGTTTTAAAATTTTAAAATTTTAATTTCACATTACTTTTAAGTGACATAATCATATTAATTCAATTGCATATCTTCTCTTTCGCAACATTTCCTAATCAACCAAACAGACTCGAGTGAACTTTCCCCAATTTCCCTGTTTTACTACATTTCTCACCAGCCAAGCATACTTCAAATAAACAAAATTAACTCCAAAACAAACTCACATAAATTCAATCTCATTCAAACTGAAACCCGCGCTTCCAGTTTCTTTTATTTATTTATTTAATTTCAAAATTTTCTCAGCATCCAAACAGGCTTCCAAACTTCAAAGAAAAATGAAATCAGAAAGAACAAAAGAGCGACCTGATAAGCTTTGTTTTCGAGTTCCAGTTGGTGAATTCTCTTCTCGGAATCATCGGAGTTGGATGCATCAATGATTTGCTTCGAGTGGCGGTTGCCTTTCTTCATCTTCCGGCCTTCTGCTATCGGATCAATTTGTTGGAAAATCGACGAATCTGAAACCCTAATCGGCGAGCTCGGGCGGGTATGTATCGGATCCGGAGGCTCTGTAGTGAAGACTGTGAAGTGTTAATGTGGTGAAGAAGAGGAGGAGGAGGACCTCTTTCACTTTGGATTCCTTTTACGCCCGACGGCATAAACTTGTAATAAAAATAATCATAATCAAAATAAAAGGAGGGAAACCTCTGGTTCAATTTTGCCACGTCAAATTAATGAACGTTGACCAAAACCTATCATTAATATGCATCTCCTTTGTTTTTTTTCTTTTTTCTTTTTTCAAGACTCAAAATTTGAATTCAAAAAAGGGGAAATTTTTCTATTTTGATAGAGTTGTGCTATTTCCAGCCACTGATTTTTTAAGAAAATAATTACAATTTATATTTTTTAAAAATTACTGAAAATGACACTGTTAAAAACAAAGAAACATGATATTGTCCATGACATTTTCAAAAAATATCTGAAGGCTTAATTGTTAAAATGGTTCCTAAATTATATTCGAGTTGCATTTTTGTCAATGATCTCCAAAAATAGCCATAACTGTCCCTTAACAAGATTTGTGTTGCATTAGTGGTCATTTCCTTCAACTTTATTATCTTTTTTTATTTTCAATGGCATCTCTCTGAATTTTCGAATTTCCTCTTTAAACCATGTCATAAGTCAAACTCATGATTTGTTTTTCTCTATTTTCAGGGAAAGATGGTATATGATTTCATTGCCTTCCATAAAATCTTTGCAATACAATTTTATGGAAAAACCAAGCAAGTTTAGCATCATTCATGCGGAAGATATTTCTCCGAATGGATCAGTTTGTATCTACAATGCCATTAAGAATTGTGGATAGAACATAACAGTAACAACACTCATGAGCACCATCTAAACACAGCAGCAAAGAAAGGCCTAATCATCTACATCTTTCTTCAACAATCAAACACAAATCAAGGCTCCGGATTGATCAATCCACGTAGCCATCAACTAGCACCAACCTTCAACAAAATCATGCTAAGCCTACATCACTATAAATGCATACACCCCCCTAAGCTTCACACTGACGGCATAAACAATTCCAATGGGGGAGAGGCTATAAAAGTTAAAGGCCACAGTTTTCCTTCTCATCTGATGTTCTGTTCTGCCGGAGAGGGCTTCTTGGAGTAGGAATTCCACCTTCCTTATTGACCCCGGATTGATCTGGTTTATCGGCATTCCTTTCTCTAAATGGGTTGCTGCCATTTGAAGCAGCAGATCGCATGGCCCTCGGTAGCTTCATAGGGATGCTTGCCTCATGCCCTCTGTTATCTGGCCTTTGAGGTGCTTCAGCAACTTCTGGCTGCGAGGGAGGCGGAGCATTTGTAACAAGTTGTACTGTGGATTTTCGCCACTTCTTTCTCTGGTTAGGTCTTGGTGCATTGGATTTGACCTGTAGTTGATGATAGAAACCAAAGAACCACAAAAATGTAAGCCAAAATAAGAGTGAGAGTTTCAAAATAATGAAACTCTAAAAAATCAAGCAAGAACAAATTAACTGTGCAATGCAAAATGGTTAGCCACCAAGTTTTAAAGTTACAGAAATTTCTTTAAGCCATTGGATCATATGTATGAGTGAATGAAATTAGTCCAGCAGAGTTAAACGATATTTGATCCGAAAATCCGTCTAATGAGTCTATCAGTAAGACTAAAGTATACCAACGTATTTCCAATCTCTGATAGAGCCCTCCTTGGTTTATCAACATCAGTTGTCTCACTAGAGTTCTCAACCAATGCATTTTGAAGTAGCCTTGCGCCATGAGTAGCAAGTAGCTGATTCTTTTCTGCTTCATCAGTCCCTATATCATTTCCAATCCCATCAGCCGTCTCTGCTTGTGCAGACTCAAGCACTTCTTGTGAGACAGATTCTCTATTTGAACACTTTGCCTCCACACAACCACATGAAGGTCCACACATTCCACCACTAGATCGGCATTGACATTTACTAGTTTTGCATGAGGAGATTTTGCTACAAGAGCAGCACATGCCTGATTCACTTTTCTTCACAGAAACAATCCCCTCACCTGAACCATCCAATTTGAAGCCTCCCAAATCGTTACTATCTGATGAAGGAAACCCCCCACTTGAACTTCCACTTTTGGATTTTCTCTTTTTAGATCTTCGTTTCCCAGATGCTACCCACTCGTCATCCTTATCTGCATCTGATTTGTCTGAATCAGATGTATCCATATCCTCCAAGATGAATGATGCCCGGTGTTCCTGGATTCACAACGTATCAGTTATTACAGAATAAAGAAAACAATTTTTTGTCAACTGTAATAACAAGTAAAAGAGCAAACATTGTAGTAAGCAGCAAGAAAAACTAACAGAGGGAAATGCCCCTAGAACTTACCAGCTTGCGCAAATCATACTTGTGTCCTCCATTGTTTAGGTCACCATCCCTTGAACAGCTCATAGCATATTTCTTCAAGGCTGAATTCTGTTGCAAAGTTAATACAAGATTAACCAAACAATAATTTTTCAGATCATTAAAAAATGACAGAAAACTGAAAGAGTTTTTCTAATGCTACAAAAACAAATGTGTGCACAAATTTAACAATTCACACAGAAAGGACATAATTGCACAAGGATCAATAGCAAGGAATAACTCATCCATTAGATACCATAGAAAAGTTTAATGCAGTATGCCAAATCATGAAAATAATGCAAAGACCAGGATGACCATTTCATTAAGGGGTTCTAATGGTCTTATTCACTTGTCACTTGAAACTGAAAAAGAAAATTCATAAAAAAGAATTAGCTTTGTGGTCAAAGTCCAGTTCAATCACTGGACAGCTAACCCAAGTCGAATTTCCTCACACATCAATATGCACATACATTCACATGATAAACACTAATAAAACTAAAATATAAATCAAATTCCATTTGCTTGTTGTCCCTTCTACTTCATGTTAAATTCTATTTATTTGTACTATAAAATAATTCAATTGACTTGGAGCTTAATTACAGGAAGAAAGAGCATGGTATCACACTAAAAACCATATAAGCTAATCTGAGACTCTACCTGATGAATAAGCTCAGCCCTCTGCATCTCTGATTTTCTAAGCAAACTACTCAAGCTTACTACTTTTTCCTTCAAATCTCTTATTTCCAAATCCTTTTCTCTGTATGCCACTTCTTTATCTCGTAACGAGCACCTTGAAAAGCAGGGATAATATTGTTTTCAGTTGCATGCAAAAGTAAATACTTAAGAGAGAGAGAGAGAGAGAGAGAGAGAGAGAGAGAGAGAGAGAGAGAGAGAGAGAAAATTCGCCGACACACACTAAAGGTTTGTTTTTTAAACAAGAATTCTATTCTGGGGAAATCTTTGACCAAAATACCTGTAGGAAGAAGCTAAATAGAACAAATGATTCATCAGATTTTTGGCATCAGCAAGGGACCGAACTTGGTTCCAGCGTCCCCTCCCACTAAAACCCCGTTCACGCTCTTCTGCTTCTGACAATTGTGATGCCATGGAAACAAGGGTGCTAGATGAAGTAGCAAGCATGTTTTCAAGTGCAAAAATTCTTGAATTTCTTGCACCGGGAGACATTGCTTGGGGGCAATCACTGCAATCAACACCGTTCAATACGCATAAATGTCACGGTAGCACAAAACAATAAAGAAGACATTTTGCACACAGAATATTCATCTGCAAAATTACTCACCTTAAATTACTTCGTTTTAACATTTCTGCTTCTTCTTTTAGCTTGGCAACCTCCTTGGCCATCCTAGCCCGCCTGCAATAGCAAGTGTAATTAAATTGATTCTATAGAATTTCCATGTTATAAAAATCTGTCCCACTCAAAAACTTGATTGGTAAAAACAAAAAACCATAGATAGTTTCAAATGAAAAACAAAACGGTGTATGGGTAACTGTTGTACTCTCAATCAGTAAGACAATATACAAATTGTCTGGGACTATAAACGTATTCAAATTGAACCAAAAGGAATCTTGGAGACAGACTCTTTTACAGGTTGTGCATGAAAGTAAATATAGAATACGTGAACAAACCCTTTTTATTTAACTGAAGACAAGTTCATAGCCAGTTCTGTAACTTATACAATCTAACTAGCAGGATAAAAAAGGCTTTTTTTTAAATAAAAAAATTACCTGATTCAAAATGATACTTGGCACAACTAAATTTAAGAGAAAATTCAACATAAGTATAATTTAGGGTATAATCTTCAAGCTAGTCAATTCAAAAAATCTCAAGAGTCAGGACCATTTAAGTCAATTTATAAAGTAGTTTACTAGAATGGAAAGACTTACTCTTCCATTTGGCGGTCATACTCAGATCGTACTTCATGCACCCGAACTGTGACTTCAAGTTCATGTTCAATTGCCTGCATTAAAGCCTGTTTGGGGAGAAGTTAAATGTAGGATATAAACACAACCAATTATATCAAGAGGTTATAAGCAGTCAAATGGACTTAAAATCCAATTAGATCCTCATCACAAGCATTCCAATTTCCATGTTGTAATAATAATAACACAGGAAACTTTTAAAAAATCAAACAAACTGATGTTAAAGTTACAATATCAAGCCACATCAAACACATGGGCCTTGTTCAATACAGCATAGACATAAATAGTATGATGTTTATAAATCCACAACATTAATCCAACTCCATATCATAAAAACAAGCAATTCCTTAAATGATTCTTTTCTTTCTTATTAGATACATAAATAGAGTTACAACTTATAAGTACCTGAATTCCAGGACCACTGCCAATTCCAGCACCTGCATAGAACAATTAATTGTTAATACACTATAATGACATGAAAATGGAAATAAAAGAGGAATATCACATGACCAGAAGTTTCACGTGAAGAAGTCTTTCGGGATTCTAAAAGCTCTTTTAGCCTTTTTGTGGCCATAGAAGCTTCTTCTGTCTTTCGTTGCAAAACCTAACATAACATAGA